TCGGATTTCGATCCCCACGCGCTAAGCGAGCAACGCGCGCAACCACAATCGCTCACTACATCCGTTGTCGCATCGTGGGACCTATCACAACGTTATTCGTCATGGCACAAACTCCTTCGAATAACTGCATACATCTATCGATTCGTAACGAATTCCCGCTCTCGACATATCAATCTCAATCTGAAGATACAAAACCCTAGAGCTCCGATCTACCTAAATCCGATTGAAATTAAGTCCGCTGAAATCTTTTGGATTCGTTACATTCAATCAGAATTGTTTCATAGCGAGATATCAGCACTCAGTACGGCAACTCCAATCAAGAAATCTAGCACACTGCTTTCATTAAATCCTTATCTCGATAATGATCAAATAATTCGAGTCGGTGGCAGGCTAAGGAACGCCACCTTACAAAGCGCCGTTCGCAATCCGATTGTCCTAAAGGACCATACCTTGGTCAGGATGATCATCATGGACACCCACCGACGAATGTTGCACGCTGGATCTCAATTAACATTAGCTCGGATTCGAGAGAAATTTTGGATTCTGCGAGCACGATCTCTGGTTCGCGCTGTACTCTACAAATGTGTATCATGTACACGAGAAAGGGCTCAGATTCCTACCGAGCTCATGGGCGATCTTCCGAATGTAAGAGTAAATCGCTCAGCTCGAGCATTCGAACATGCCGGTGTCGATTATGCCGGTCCAATTCTTGTACGAACCTCTCGTGGACGAGGTCATAAAGCGCATAAAGCCTATATTGCCGTGTTCGTTTGTATGACGACAAAGGCGATCCATCTCGAGCTCGTTAGCGACTACTTTTCAGACGCTTTTCTCGCCACATTAAATCGTTTCGTTTCTCGTCGCGGATACCCTGCATCGATTTATTCGGATAATGGAACCACATTCCAAGGTGCCGATCGCGAACTTAAACTCGCAATCGCGCAGGCTTTAAAAAATTCGGATTTGCAAAATACGCTTTCGACCGACGGAATAAACTGGCATTTCGTGCCTCCTTCCGCTCCCCACTTCGGTGGATTATGGGAAGCTGCCGTACGCAGCGTCAAACACCATTTAAAGCGCTGTATCGGCTCACATACGCTCACATTTGAAGAATTAAATACTGTTCTTTGTCGTATCGAAGCGTGTCTTAACTCGAGACCTATTGGGTCTGTGTCCGAAAATCTCGATGATTATCATGTATTAACACCGGGACACTTCCTCATCGGGGGACCCATCTTAGCTGCGCCACAGCCAAGCGTTCTCGATCTTAACGAAACTCGTCTTTCCCGCTGGCAATTGTTGCAACATATTACAGAAAAATTTTGGAAATCATGGTCAAACGACTACTTATTAACGTTGCAGCAGCGGCCAAAATGGAAAATTGCGCAACGACTTGCGACTGTAGGCCGAATCGTTCTCTTGCGGAACGCACTTGCTCCTCCGTCTCACTGGGAGCTCGGACGTATCATCGAATGTCATCCCGGCAACGACGGACTCGTTCGCGTCGTTACCGTGCGCACCGCGCGTTCACAGTATAAGCGTCCAATTGTAAAATTATGTTTTCTTCCGATCGATATCAATACTTCAAGCGATCAAAGTTCCGCCATGGCGGGCGGCACCGATTCCGATTAGACTTAAGTAATAATGCTCAAAAATTATTGTACTGCACCATTTGTTGTAAAAAAAAAAACTTTCCATATTCGTATTGTAAGCGTTCTAGTCATAAATTGTAAGCGTTATAGTCTTTACTTCGAATAAAATCATTCGAGACGGGCGGTATGTTCCGGAACCGTTGAAAATAATTGAGAGTCTCCGCGAAAAGTTAAATGTCGCGCGATCAAATATATTGAGAACCACCAATCGTCGCATTAGCGAATCACGAATTTCCACGCGACCGAGGCATAGCGCGTAGCCGATCCTTCTCACACCTCTTTGCAATTCGCATTCGCGGTCCTTTTTCGCCAACTCAAGTGCGCGGTGTATCGATTAGGATCTGTCGCGCACCCCCGTTCATGCCTATCTGAGTCGCTAATATCCTTCCTCGTTTCCCGTTCCTTCTTGTTGTTCCGGCTCTCAGTGTATTAACACATTGCCTCGTTATTGGAGATTCGTATCACGCGTGGTTCACATAATCCTTCGAGTCACGAAAGTGATTATTTTCCGCCGGTCATCGGCAAAAATTTGTAGAATATTGTGCAAGCGATATTTTCCATTATTTCAGTTTTATTTGTGAAATACATGCATAGTTCGGCTGCAATTACGACCGCATGTATCACCACGTGCTCCGACATTACAGTGTTCCGGAGACTCTCAGAGACCTCGATTTCGCGAACGGTGCATCGCGCATCCGCGTTCGGCTCTTGATCGCTGCGATCTTTGTAAAAATTATCGCGAGAAGATTTCCGTCGAGTACGCGCGCAGCAATTACGATCAAGCACAAGATGTCCGTCCGTTCTCGTTAAAATTTTTGTCCACCGTTCGCCAAGTGTGTTTAATTCGAACTCGAAACTTTAGTTTTTTTTGTGAAAGATCGACAACTTTAGTTTTTTTTTTGTGAAAGATCGAATAAACCTTTTTTTAACCATATTCTCAGCTGTTAACAATCAACCCCTTCTTCCCTCTATTCCCGATCAAAATTAATTTAATCAGTGCATTCCGCAACAATAATCACAATGTGTACTTTTTAAAAAACAAATCGATGTCTGTATCTTACAATGTCGGCGCGCTGTATATATAATAGACTGAAGTTCCTTATTGTTAATAGATTAAACAAAGAAATGACTCAAGATATAAATAACGAAATCATAAATAATGACAATAATAAAAAATTCATAGCGATACCTTATATTGAAAGAATCTCGGAACTAGTAGCATCAGAATTAAAGAAATCAAATATAACAGTAGGATACAGATGTCTAAAGAAATTAAACAGAGTCATAAAAACGCAAAAAGACAGAGATAAGCTCCAAAATAATTCGGGGGTCATATATAAGATTTCGTGTAATAATTGTGATGCTACATATGTAGGACAGACGAAAAGACAATTAGGTACAAGAGTAAATGAACATAAAAATAATATTAGATTAGATTCAGCAAGGCACTCGGTGGTTTCTGATCATATTGTAAAATTTACACACAATTTCAATTGGAACGACACAAAAATCCTAGATTATGAAAAGAATTATTATAAAAGGTTGATATCAGAAATGATATATATTAAAGAAGAAAACAACAGTATCAACCTAAAAAAGGACACCGAGCGTCTTGACGGTTCTTATTATGATATTCTAAAAAAATTGTCTACGTCATCTTAAAAATTGGGTATATATACAGCGCGCCGACATTGTAAGATACAGACATCAATTTGTTTTTTAAAAAAGTACACATTGTGATTATGTTAAGTAAAAAGAAATAATTTTTTAAAAAAAGTGTTATGTTCGTTGACAAAAAAGTAAGTTAATACTATTTATTAAAAATCTAAATGTAATATTTGAGCGGATATATTAATTTGTTCACAGTGTCGTTACATAATATAACAGCATCTGACGCTCTAACTCATGCCAACAAACATGAATTTTGTACTGCGTTCGTCATATAATCTTATAATTGTTGTATTTATTTATGATGTCGAAATGACTAAATTAATTTTTTAACATATTATTAGGATATTGAGAAAGACTGTCGTACAGTCGAAACGTTTATCGTAACTTTTGTATAGTATGACGTAAATTAATAAATAAAATTTTTCAATTAATAGCATATAATCTCGTTAAGTTGGCCTTTTATTATATCACATATTATAATTAATGTACTTAATGTAATAGCATTTTTATACTGAATAATAATAATTTTTATATTTGTCATACGTGATATTCTTGATCATCTTCTATATTTAATTACATATAATAAAAATCATTACTTAACTGAACACAAGATGTCGAGATTACTTTTTTGTTCTTCCCGGAATCTAGTCAACTCAAGTGGCACTGAAAATTTCGGCGTGTTCTTTTTCACCTGCACTATTCAGTGCAACCCATGAAACTTGTCCAGTGTTCGTGTGAACTGAGTGCGCACTGGTGCGCACTAACTTTTTCCCAATCGAAAACGCTATTAGTCTAGAACTATCAACGGACGGACGTATTGACCAGAGATTTCTCAGCATATTATATGCACGCCTTATTGTATTTCATCATTCTTCTGTATTGGGTCGCTATATTAAAGTTCATTTCCTGCCTACGCGAGTATCTTCATTTCGGGCGCGTGTGAGAGTGCGTGTGTGAAAGAGGTGTTTCGCGAGAATACGCGGAGGTCGTTACGGAAACACAACAATTTTAATAAAAATATCAGTTTTATAATTTGTTAATTAAATTAGATTAAATCGATAATATATGAAAAAGCGTGTATAAATATATTTAAAGAAAATATGATCAAAAACAAAATAAATAAATAATTTTTTTATCTCATCAGAAATATGAGTTCAATTAAAATGATATAGTTTATTTATATAAAGTTTCAATAAAATTTGTGAATCTAATTTTACCATTTCTTATTATGTTTTAAAAAGTGAATATTAGCATAGTTTACCTTTGAAAAGACATTCTATATAATTATATTTATAAAACAATATTTATAAATACAGATTAATTTAAATTTATTTTTATGTAAGTATTATTACTCTAAATATTTTTTATTAAAAGTGCATAAGAAAAAGATGCTGCCAAAATGAGACAAATAATATAGAAAATATTTCAAATGTGTATCATTATTATAAAACATCGATTTATAAACAAAGTTATAAATATTATGTTATAAATGTTATAAACATGTTGCAAATAATATTATAAAAAATGTTATAAATAGTGTTATAAAAAATTGTAGTCAAATAAAAAGAAAAGAATCAAAAGTATGATTCTACTAAAAGTATGATTTCTAATTTAAAATTGATTATTTTATTAATACTAAAAAAATTGCATATAATAAATTATTTTGACGCTACTTACCACCTGTGACTGTTTCTAGCGTGAAAGCGTTAAATCGCCAATTGTCAACCTTTTGTAAAACGCACTGTAATACATATAACAAATTCCAATTTAATACCGACACAAATATAATGGACATAATATTGTCAATAGAAAAAACAAAAATGTGTATGCTAAACGTAAATACATAATAATAAAAATATCACATTTAATTTTGAGAAAAAATATGGCAATTTCACAACATAAAAAAATTAAAAATTTTAATTAATTATAACGCATACAATATTATGACACATAGAAAATATCTCTTACGAAGTATCTCCTTTGAATTGAGGACTTTTAATTTGTTATAAATTTTTCTTTTGTAAAGAATTACATTTATATCTTTAAGGGGATGCTGAAGTGACGGCCAAACTCCGATAGGTTAGCACCACACATATCTAAACATACGCATACATACACATATACATACGATAAATTAGCACTACACATATCTAAATATATGCATGTATATACACATATGCGTGAAAATTTTCTGCACTATTTTCTTATTTATTAGGCTTTTAAACTTATATCTAAAAGTTTACTAATACTTCTTCATTTAATTTCTAGTCGGAATCTATCTTATTTTGTACATCGTACAAACAGCAGAACTTTTATATTAAACAATTATTTTTTTGATCTGATGACAGAAGTTGATAAAGAAATTTTAGTTTTTTAATTTTTTCTTGTTTTTTAACATAAAATCGATAGGTTCCCACTTTGTTTCTGTACGTACTTTAATTGTGGAAAAGCATTTATTATTTTATTAAACTAATAAAAAGTTTTCGGTGTAGAAAGATCTATAATTATCCGATCGATAAAACATACATCCAGCATATCCTTAAAGCTATAAATAATTAAAAATAAAGCTCTGTCCACTTGATAAATAAGAAAGTTTCAGAAAATAAATATAATAAAATTATATCTTTTTCAATTTAATATAAATTCTCTTTGCGTTTTAATTTAAACAGAAATTAATATCTATGATTCTTTCAATCTAAAATTAACTAAGTAAATAAATAGCGATAACAGCCTGGCGTTGTTAGAAAAAGACGCAAATTTAATACAATAACTAGAAAATTAAAATACCATCGCAAAGTTTATTATTGTCATATTAACGAGACGTCAATTAACGTTGATTAAAAGTATAAAATTTAATTTTTATTATGCCTTTTTTGAGCATGAAATTAGAATAAATTCAAAAGACATAAATATCAGATGTAACCTTTATTAGAAGCGGAACGTTTCGTACTTTTACTTAAGACTTCTTCAGTCGCAATATACAAACGTTATAAGTATAATATAAAAATTAACTTTAACTTTAAACTTGGACAAACGATTGTTGAGTTTAGTTTAATTATGTAGACAACACCCATATAAAATTTTAAAATATATAAATTGTTAAAATTAATTTTTATATTATATTTATAGCGTTTGTATATTGCGGCTGAAGAAGTTTTAAGTAAAAGTACGAAACGTTCCGCTTCTAATAAAGGTTACATCTAATATTTATGTCTTTTTAATTTATTCTAATTTCATCCTCGAAAAAGGCCTAATAAAAATTAAATTTTATACTTTTAAAAATCTTTCCTCAATGGTAAAAGTCGACCAAACTGGCAATCATTTATTATAAATAATTAGTTAAAATACAACGTTTCGGCTGTCATTGCAGCCCTTTTCAAGTAAATCTATAAAAAGTTACATAAAAATAATTATAATTTTAATACATTTCATCGCAACAAATAATTATAAATTCATATACAAAAATATGTTACATACCAGACGTAAATGCATAATACCTTTTATTGTAATTCATTATTAGACATTAGATTAAAGAATATTATCTTTATATATGACTTCACTTTCAAACATAATTTGAATTTTTATATTTACTGCTCTTAACAGCCTTTTATCAAATTTATTAAATATTTATCTTTATCTTCTATGAATTGATAATATCGAGGTTTTTGAAGATAGCAAATATTTGATAAGTATTTTAATAATTATTAAAATAACTAAACTATGTAAAAAATATATATTTAGTCAATAAATAACCCAGACAACAAAACGTCTAAGATATAATTTCCTACTCAACAATGTAAATGCAATATAACTTGTGTGAGTTACTTGGTGTTTGCTGAGATGTAAATAAAAAACTTTGAAATATAAAAATTTATTGAAATTTCGATCTAACTGGCCAGTACAATTTAATTAGGAACACTACGTTTCAACCCTTAAGTACGGGTCCTTTTCAAATGTAACTGCACCATAAAAATATACAATGATTAAGATATGAAACAATAATTTACAAAGTTGTTAACGAAAAAATTTTAAATAATATAAAAATAATGTAATGTACCTTTCAAGATGTTGATTCGACAGCAGTAAAATTACTAATGTTAAATCGGAGACAAGTAAATCAATTTAAGTCAAACGTTAAAAACACAATAATATCAAAGTTCGACAATACAACGAAATAAATAAATAAATAAATAGACAATCATATACTGTGAATCAACTTATTATAAATCGGATTTAGATTTTTTGTGTCCTTTTGTGTTTTTAACGTTTGACTTAAATTGATTCACTTGTCTCCAGTTTAACATTAGTAATTTTACTGCTGTTGAATCAACATCTTGAAAGATACATTACATTATTTTTATATTATTTTAAATTTCTTCGCGCGTTAACAACTTTGTAAATTATTATTTCATATTTAATCATTGTATATTTTTATGGTGCAGTTACACTTGAAAAAGACCCGTACCTAAGAGTCGAAACGTAGTGTTCCTAATTAAATTGTACTGGCCAGTTAGGTCAAAATTTCAATACATTTGTATGGTTTTACTCATTACTGGCGACTTCATTAATTTTATCGTTATTTGAAATATAAAGTTTCCATATTTTCACGTATTAATAACCACGTTTGACTCTTAATTAGCCCGTTTTTCTTTATACTATAATAAAAAATGTAAATAATCAATCGAATTCTTGATGTTGCCAATCAATAATTAAAAGGATAAATAATTTTTACAACCAATACTGACTAATAAATATTTAATAATCATCACAACGTTTTGACCATGGGTTTTAGTCCTTATCAAATGTACTACAATAAAGTAATTACAATAAATTTACAGTAATGCGTAAAAATATATGTGAACAAAACGTTAAACTTTACCTTAAAATTAAAAACCGTATACATATTATGCGAACGAAACTTCTTGTCATACTGTGATAATATAATAGCCGAGGACTACACAACCTTTAGTACCTTTAGTACCCTTAGTATATTGTCATAAATATTACTCAAATTATGAGTGTCTTTTTGTAGGTTGTGTTATTACCTTTTTTTAATGAAAAACATTTCAGCTATTTCGATGTTTTTTGTATGTTTTTTGTTATGTAATATTGTCGGTGTTGCCCAGTCAAAATCGTAATTAAACTCTAATTTATGTTTACTAATAACCGAATGATTAGACGTGTGCAATTTAATATTATTAAAATATTCTTTAACTCGAGTACTTAAGAATCTCTTTGTTTGACCAATATAAGACGCCGTACAATTTTTACAATCTATTTTATACACTACATTAGTTCTCATATCATTCGTCACGCTGTCCTTGCCTCGTCTAATCAATGAATCTAATTACAAAAAAGAGAGAAATAGCTGAAATGTTTTTCATTAAAAGAACTAATAACACAATCAACTTACAAAAAGACACTGATAATTTGAGTAATATTTATAACAATATACTAAAGGTTGTGTAGTCCTCGGCTATTATATTATCACAGTATGACAAGAAGTTTCGTTCGCATAATATGTATACGGTTTTTTATTTTAAGATAAAGTTTATTTTAAGGTGAAGTTTTGTTCACATATATTTTTACGCATTACTATGAATTTATTGTAATTTATTGTAGTACATTTGATAAAGACCAAAACCTTTGGTCGAAACGTTGTGGTGATTATTAAATATTTATTAGCCAGTATTGGTCGTAAAAAATTATTTATCCTTTTAATAAAAAATATATTCTTATTTTTAAAAATGTTTTAGTCTTTCTTTCAATCTTTCTTTCTTTCCTATGAAACTAGAATTTTGCAGAATGCAATGGAAGTAAGTGAGCTTGAGCGGGTATATTACTTTGCGTAATTCTGAACTTATAAAGGAACGGAAATGTCCCTCACCGATTTTGATGGACTATGTTATAGAAGCTTATAAAAATATTAGACCTATATTTTTTAGTTGCGTTTATATCAACGTTTAGAGATTGAAACCATTATTTGAAAATAATAGATTTTTTCATTCTTAGCGGATATCTTTGAAAACAAACATGTACAAAAAAATTTTATACAAAAGTTTTATAGTATTTTATACTGTTTACAATGTACTCACATTTTTCAAAAATATCAAATTTTTGAATTTACCTTCACTCACACCCATTATTTTTGCAAAATTTAATAATTTTATAAGAACAAAAATTGAACAGCATAAAATGCCAATTTCATTCATGTTAGTTTCAAGTTATTTTCTTTTTAAATTTATGTATCGAGAAAATCCAAAATTTATGTATTAAGTTTCTGTGGTAATATAGCTGGTAATAGCTTAAAAGTTTTAAGATCAAAGAAATAAAAACAAATAGAAGAATGTTCATATAAAAAGAAGTAAAAAATTTTATTCTACTCAATTATACAAAAAATTTGATTATAATAATTATCTACAAAATTGTTTAAAGAAAATACTTCATATTTAATATTAATGTGATTAAAATAGTTCACTTACATATATTAAAAAAAACTGATAAAAAATGTTACAAATCAATAAAAAGAGACAAATAATGTTAAATAAATATACATTTAAAAATAATTTTTATTTGTTAAATATAAATAAAAAAGACCTAAGAGATGTTTCTCCAACAAAAATTAATTTGTTGTTGGAAATAAACGAAAAAATGTTTATTTGATTTTAATAAAAATTACCTGTACTAGCCCGTTAAAAATATCGTCTATCATGCCTGGCTCTTGATTCAAAGATCTAGTAATAAGCCTCTTACGTCGTCTCTTGTGCATTGTCAAAAATCGACCAGAATGTCTAGGTCTGCATTGACTGATGTCCAAATTTTTCAGCAAGATTCGATCCGTGTCAGATAAATGTCTGATTGCTGCTTCCGCTGTAGATCCATCACAGACTTTTGATAATGTGCCAGAATCGCAACATAAGCTGTTATCTGCAAAATAATACACATTTTCAGCAATTTTTATAAGCGAGAAATTATTTTTTTTCATAGAATGTGTGTGCATGTGCGTGTGTACAGGATGTCTAGTAAAGATTGTGCTAACACTGAACAGATAGCACAGTAAACTGAACAGAAAAGTCCTTTATCATTTTGTAACTTTTGCAATATATAATTAATGATAAATTAATTAAAAAAGATCAGCTAATTCACTCAAGTACAAGCGCACGACAAAAAAATAGTGTTACGTGATCACTCGTAGAAAAGAAACAACGCAAATATTTTTAAAGGTGATAAAATATTGGGATTAATAATCAAATTTAATTGTGTCTAACAATTGTAACATTAGGCTGTCTTCTTTCTTGTCGCTTATACTCGCACAAATTGGTCGATCTTTTTTAATATTTATCATTAATTATTGCTAAAATTACAAAATAATAAAATACTTTCCTGTGTTCTATTTGTTTATGAGTGTTGGCACAATCTGCGAGATATACCCTCCGTATATAGGATATTATATACAAAATTACCCTTGCAAAAATAAAAAAACTTGTAATATTATTTCATACAATAATAAAATAATGTACAGTGATTCGATAATATGTTGCCTAAATTTTTTCTCAATACATTTTATTAATGAATGAATATTTGGTTAGGTTCATATTTAAAACACTAATAAAATGTATAAAAATATTTATAACTACACATAATAAATGTGATAAATTCTTATAACAATTAAAAGATATTTTATATTTGAATATTTCGTATGTCTTAACAATTTCGTTACAATTTAAAGTTTAGAGTCCGTGATTTATAAATAAAACTTCCTTATAGTGAAATTGAGACCAGTTTATTCGGGTACAAAAGGATATTTTACTTAATAATTTGCATACTAACATCCTTTATAAGATGTTACAGAATTATAATGTCTTATACATCAGACAGAAAATTTTTTAAAACTAGAGCTGCCAAAAACAACATAACCATATTAAAAATATCGTAATATCTTGTCATGAATCATAGATTGAATAATAATGAATTCGTATATGGGATAATATAGAAATCTTGGATGAAAAGCACACATTGCCTATTGTCAAAGATGATATTTATACTATATAAAATGATAAAAAATTTAAACCTTTAAAGCGGCACCGAAAACCTAATCTCCGTGTATATCATGATAATGATGGACAAGTTAGCACAGATTTAAATTAGTCATGTGTTAGAACGTCATCTCTACGTAAAAAAACTATTATATTTTCGTCGTTTGTTTATACCACAATATCGCGCAATAATTGTCAATGTAAAGAATCCCGAACCAAATATAATAGAATTTTGGCTTTCAGCGGAATTGGCTGCTTTTTTCATATGTTGTAGCTTATGACTTGCTAAATAAAAGATATTATATAATAATCAAGTATTGGACAATTACTGAGTTACAGTCAAACAACTCGCAGAGCCCGAATTTTCGTGTTTAATTAGCTGTAAACAAAAATCGTTATTTGATACTGTTGATTTGTCCATTATTTCGATAACAAAGCATTTACGACCATATGTTCATCTTTGTTATTCTCTTTTATGTAAGAGAACACTCTCACAAATTTTTAAAATATATTTTTAACTCACTCTATATAGCAATTTTAATACTGACATACAATAATTAAAAAAAAATTTTGCAGTATGTATGGCTCATAGTCGTTTAGTCATGATTTACACAGAATATAGACAAGATTGAGCAATGATGAATGCTATATAAATGAGATGATCCTTTTCTTTAGATTTATGTACACTATTTAGTTTTTTTCTATTTACCAATCTATACTAGTGATTTATATAGTGTTACGGCAATCCAACAGTGTTAGGGGACTTTCAACGCGCTGTTCTAACACACCGGTATTGCAAATTTCTTACATATTGACTGTCTTGTTCTGATGTCTGTTCTTAGACATCATGAGATTTCGTTTTTGTACCTCTTCTCCAATGTTCTTTATGACATCCGCCAAGTATATAATTATGATTATTTATCAATCTCAACGGAATCCATATTACCAATGTCTGGATTAAACAGCATGCTATATGCGGCCTAAAATCGACCCCTAATAATTGGATAAACTAGATACCGTTATACCGTCCTGAACGAGCCCGTATTAATTGACTCTAATCGATTCAGTTGAGTCGCTAGAGACCAGTTTGTATTAACTCAGATTGACTTCTTTGAATCAATCAAGACTAGTCTGTGATACGTTGTCTTTCCTCAATCATAATCAAATGCTTCATTCGATCAACAGTAGCTGCAACCATCCAATTTTGCTAGCATCCCTCTCATATCCTTGATTTCGTTGTTAAGATCGTTAATAAGGATCTTGCGGATTCGAAACAATTTCTTTAAATTTCGGATGTAGTTTTCTACTGCTGCCCGTTGTTGGACAACTTGTGTTAATACTAGATGACCATTGTGATACTTGGTGACCTTTCTTGTCATAGCGTTCTTTTTGTATCTGCTATTCTTAATCAATGTGCGCTTTAATTCCAGTACGTAGTTCGTCTAAGTATAGTTGGTGCACCGTATTCTATATATGAGACAGGAATGACGCCTCCGGGATTCCTGTCTTCACAACCAATGAGTACCTTGGTCGGTGTCAGGTTTATGTTCTTGTTATGTGTCATGTTTAAAGCATTCTGTATTTGTTTAATAATTGTCCTAATCACATAGATCTCGCCTAGTCGTTATTGTGACTAGGGCCTATACGATCGTCTTGTACATCTCACATTGATTAACTTGTAACAACGGTATTTAAGCATGTGATTCCATAGGTATCGCAAACAGGCGGAAAATCTGAGACATAAAAACATTCTCTACCACTTAAAGTCTTTTTTGTTAGATTTCAAATAAATAAATAAGATTGGTTAAGATCTTTATGACATAACATGCCTTTTGGCTTCTTGTTGGTTATGTAAATTTGGTAAAAACGTCATCTAATACGTAAATTTGGTAAAAACGTCATCTAATACTAATAAATTTATTCTGTTTACGATTTGTCTCGAAGAGGCCAATGTAATCGATATGCGCGGTGTGAAATAGTACCAGCACCTTTTTAATAAGATTTAATTTACATTGCTTCTTGTCAGTCATATGCTTGTAATAGGTGCAGTTCAAGCAGACATTTATGTATTATACTTCATTACAAAGTGTCTCATACTTAAACCAGTAATTTCGTTTTATGCATTCTAGCATCTTTCCAATGCCTAAATACTCAGCGTCATCGTAACTTAACCTGCAATGTATGTGTGCATCTCGCAGTACCATTTACATTACAATCTTATCATCTAAGCGTTGGTATACTTTACCACACTACTTTATTATCCTTCAGTACATACTCGTCAAAATAATATTTCGTTTCGTGCATTGTATTTCCTTCTGCGAGATGCTACTAATCCGGATTCACGATAGTTGCTCATCTTGCAATTAAGCTACTAATATCCAATCGCTCTTCATTATGCCTACCTTCTATTGGGAGTTACATCGGGTTACGACTGCGTCTACGTGTGTTATTTTAGTACCGGCATTATACTCGACGTCGAAGATGCATTCCTGTATTTCAAGTCACCAATTCGGTCAATGCGAGATAACAAATTTTAGTTAGCGAATAATATAATCGGTCACCACTTTGTATCTCATTCTTAAAGTATATTCTAAAATATCTTAAGACCAACATATATTCCATCGTTTCTAACTCATAAGAGTGATAACAGCGTTAATCCGTAGTAGTTTGTCTGAAATAGGTCACTATCACCATTTTATCATCCTTTTCCTGTAACATATAACTCCTACTCCTACCGCATTCACGTCTTTATGTACTTCGGTACGCTTATTGAATATTGTTAATACTAGCCGGATCGTTAACTTATTTTTGATAGTATTGAATGCCTTTGTACATTTTTCCACATCCAAGATACACGCTGTTTGACTTTACCAACGGTTCTACAATTGTCACAGTTTTTGATAAATCTTTTGAAGTAACTTGCTAGCCCCAAAATCTGTCGTATCTACTTTACCGATCGAGCTCTTTCCATATGCCTTAATTTGGTTTTGAACTAGTCGGATTCCTTGTTCACTAATCTCTTGTTTTAGGTTTTCTACAGAGTCTGAAAAAACGTATTTTTTTCTGATTTTAAAGTTAAATGATGCGTAGGAAAGGTATTCAATATCTAGCGTAATCGTGCCACTCCTTTCTTTATTGTGTCATAGATGATATAATAACATTATTCAAAAAGAAAAATGCTATAAAAAATTCTTTAAAGTATACAGCATCTTGTCCAATAGCCGTTGGAAGACGGCGGACACGTTGGTTAGGCCGAATGGCACCCGCAAGAATTCGTAATTTCTTTCGTAGTTACAGTTAATGATGTTATTTCTATGGAATTTACCACCTGATAGTATCCGGAAACCAAGTCGAATCTTGTAAAATACTTGTTGTTTTTTAACTTATCGATCTGCCCCTTAATTAATGACATATTTATCTTTGATCGTAAGTAATGCTAATGCAATTCTTGGGAGATATTCAAACAATAGTCGAGGAGGCAGAAGTTTTAGTGGGTCAGGGTGTAACGGTTCACCTTTCCCGACGCCGCGGATCGGCTCGCCGGTTCCAGGATTCGGGAGGAAGGGGGGGATTCAGACTCGCTTATTCCTTATTAACAATACTTTGGTTTATTTAAAAAGAAACAAGTAAACAAAATGATTGTTGGCATAAAGCCTAAATAGAGAAACTTATTGACTACTCGGTATAAACGAAATGTTTGTTGGCATAAAGCCCTAAATAGAGAAACTTATTGACTACTCGGTATAAACGAAATGTTTGTTGGCTTAAAGCCCTAAATAGAGAAACTTATTGACTACTCGGTATATACAAAATAAGGAGGCTTATAGCCTGTAGCGGTGTCCGGAAAAGATTTACAAATTACCCGGTATAATAGAGATACGGTGTACGGAGGCGTATAGCCTATGGCAGGAAGAAACCGGAAACCGGGAAACCCGGTGTAATGACGAGA